TTTTTTGGCAATTGTCTCTCTAAGAACGTTTTGCTCGTTCGATAGACCAAACAGCGCAAAGTAATTCTAGATCTATTTATTGTCCCAGTTGCAGCACTACTTTATCTTCAACATGCCATAATTATACTCGATCTTAATTAAAACGGACAAGTAGTTGCTTGAAATGTTAAGTGTAACAGCAACATTGAATAATGATTTCACAGCTAATCAGTAGACTGCAGATTCTCGTGCAATTTCGTACGAAATTTGAAAGATGATGCAGAATTGCACGAACTGTACATGACACGTACAGAAACTATGCAAAATACTCAGGTTATAATATTTGACAGGTTATACAATCTATCTTCTATCTATTATTCTCTTTATCTATTGTTTCTTTTAATCGTAAATAAATCTAAACTAATTCAAATAGATATTATTTATAAATAAATGAAACGAACAAATCAAATTTTCGTGAAAATGTGCAAAATGTGAATTTGCATAAAAATCCGCAGTCTGTTGATACTTTACCGACCGGTAGCCTATTGATCGGCTCTCGGTCGGTAAGGTGTTAATTACATTAACTCGGCAGCACGCATCTGCGCGTGAAGATTCACATTTCTTAGATTGTGATTCAATTATAAATTGTTCACTTGTAAAAGTTAATATTCGTACATATGCATATATATTTATATGTATATATGTATGTCGCTAATAAAAACAAAGGAACAGGAAAAAATACGGACGTTTTTATGTTGCGGTAAATAAATGTTCCTTTTTACCGGAAGTTCACAAGTATTTCCGTTACAAAAGTGCGTACTGCCAGGTTAACATCGTGCAACAGCATCTCTGCGTTGAGTGATACATTAATTATAATGTTCGTCGTTGTTCGAATACGATTATGGCAAATAATCATTGGGGAACGAAGATGATTTGCGTAGAAGAGGAAGACAAAGATATTTTACACAGAGATACGTACTTACAAACTATCGTGTGTATAACTTATTTACAACATAAATATGCATGTATAATTTAATAATTATAAGTATATGTGTATGTAAGTATATGTGTATGCATCACTTTGACCTGACAGAACGCGAAAATATACATAGTACACACACACACACACACACACACACACACACACACACTACACAATCGTTTTACAGTGGCGTTTAAATAATTTAATAAAATAGAATATAAATAGAAATTATAAATTATGAATTATAAACCTGACATCTGATATGCGAATAATCTACGATGATTATTATGTATCACATACGTGCTGGGATATGTATATTTGTGAATAAATTAAAGCGCATCTATGCAATTATTTTAAGCACACAGAACATTTATCTAACGCTTCTTTGTCTCTCTACTCTATATTTATTATACACTATCAACAATCCTTTCGCGAAGTAAACATTTACTTCGTGCACGCAGAAAAACATTTATCTAACTCTTTTTCCCATCTTTCTACATATCTATTATACACTATCGACAACTCTTTTCTGAGATAAGAACATAAAAATTGCACGCGTGATTCAAAGCGAATGTTCGAAACATTGAAACATTGCTCGAATTGTAGAATATTTTCGAGATACGTGAAAATAATTATATTTCCTCCCGAGGAATTAAACATCTCTGTACAGTTTCGCTTCGTATTTTCTGTAATGAAACACCTACGCATTGCTTGAAACACGCCGATACTACTCGACATGAAAATATAATACTGTAACTCGTACTTTCACGGAAAAATATCAATAGTTACGTGGCAAAATTCTTGTCGTCAAATGCTTCTTACGATTCATTCTTAAATATTCAATGTAAGACATTAAAAAAGAAA